TAAGGGTGTATATCTCTGAGAGGATTCCTCTTGGTGGTCTGGTTTTTGGGGGTTTTTTTTTTGGTGGTTTTGTCCAGCATTAATGGCCTCCTTAGGACCCTTTACATAAGGTAGACCAAGTAGCCCAGCTCTGAGCTGCAGAAACTGTAGCGAGTGTATGGGTGCATCTTCTAGCTAGGTTGGTAAGGGGTTAATCAGCTTGCAGATACAACATAATAGATCTATGTGTTGTGATAGCTAATTCATTGGTGTGGTTTGCTGGGGAATGGATTATTGGAATACTGAACCTCTGAATTCCCAAATATATTTTAACCCCATTAATGGGTTGTGGGAAAACATTAAATATTTAACAAGAGACTTCCTGACTTGCTGTTTGATGCTTCTCTTTTTTGCTTGTTTCTCTGGGCTGTTTTGCCTTTAATCAGTAGAGATGAGATTCTTTGTTATGGAAGACGTACTATGAGATTTCTTTCACATCTGATACGGTCGAGTGTAGTTACCTCAGTTTTAGGTCCAATATCTGGGAAGCCTGACAAATTTGTGTTTCTGTTCCGTTTGTTAGGACTGGCCCTAACAAGTTGCTCTTGGCTTCAAATTTAAGTTGTCATAAACAATTCCGATTCCCCTGTTGACTTCCCCAACCTCTTAGTAGAATTTTCCTATGTGTGTCTCCTTGGCATGATAGCTTGCAACAGAAATCGTGTAAAGAGTTGTTATTTTTACTACAAGCTAAGTTTCTCTCCTTGGATCCAAATAACCTTCCTTTTCCTGATACGATTTGTGAAGGACAAGGCTCTAGACTCCCCAGGGTATCTTCCCTCTACAGCTTAGGCTGTTCTTTTTACTTTTCTTTCACACCCTGCACCCTCCAAGGGAGCTCTGTGGATGGGGAAAGGTATACTACAAAATCACCCAGTGGCACTTAAATGATATTTTTTGGTGACTGTAATTTGCCTCGTGTATTATAGTTGAGAAATCCATTACCATTCTCAACTGGTTGATCCGAGACACAGGAAACCAACTGTTAGATAGGAAACTGCCCCCCCCGTGTAAAAGGTTTAGTAGTAACAGCGTTCAGAGGCCAAAAGAGATGAGCACGTTGGCAAAGTAAGGGACATGTAATGCACTTAGTTCACTTTCTTGGGACTGTGTTCTCGTTCTCATTTCTCCAGCTTTTGAATGTTATTTGATAAGTAAAGGCTTCCCATGACTAGCATCTTACAAAAGGTGGGAATCTCTAGCGAATGTGTGTCAACATAGAATAGTTTGGGTTGGAGGGGGTCTTTAAAGGTCCAACCCCAACATGTATTGCACTGTGCAAGGAATCCTTGAAGGGTGCTGCACTGAAGAACAGTATCAGGCACACTTTGGGTTGGTCATCTGGGTTTCCCCATAAAATTACTTTTATTATTTTTTCTAACCACTTTCTAAATGTCTTGTGTCCTTCTAGTTGTGGTTCTCCAATTCAAGTTTCAGAGGTGAAACTGCTCTCTTTTTCATCAGGCCAGTTAACTGTGTTCCTGCCAGCAGAGGTGAAATCTATAGGGACAGAAACAGATCATGTGCTGCCTTTGCAAGAACTGGCCATGAGGACCCTCTATAACATCTACTACAGGTTTTTAAAAGGTATGAAGTGTTTGCATTCTTCAGATTACAGAAGGAGTGGAAGTGTGTTTCTGGCAGTGATAGGAACATTTCAAATTAGCTCCTCAAAGACCTGGGCAAGGATGAATATTTTAAAAGATGTATTTAATCAAATTATCTTTAAAATGCTGTATTCGCACAAAAATGTCCAATGTCAAAAACCAAAGATCCAAAGACTATTGCTAAGGTTAAGTGGTGCTTACAAATGGTTTCCTTATTGAGGACTCTATAAAGAAGGACGCTTTTTGCAGGAGGAATTCTTTAATGGAAATAGGAGATGAGAAATACAGTTCCTGAGGCAAGATTAGATGCATCAGCCAACAATGCAACTTCTTGCCAGGCAGCACACTCCTAAACTGGCAGAGTTGTTATACATAAGGCAAAAGAAATGCTAGCAGCCCTTGGCCATTTCAGTACATACAGCGTGACAGCTGAGCTGTTTTAGTTCTGCCCCAATTCAGGCTCTTTGCTGTAAAGTGGCCCTTGGCTCATCTGGTTGTGCATCAAGGAGTCGCATGAGTTAGCAGTATCTGATGATAACCTGCAGATTCACATGTTGTCAGATTTAGATATATTGTGACTCTTCCCTATTCGCAACGTCTTGGGAATTTGTCAGCTCTAAAGGTGAAAGGAGAAAGCAGAAGGGGTAGGGAGTTACAGTGGAAAGGTTAGAGGGTTTATTATAAGGGGTCACTTGTACCATGGCCACTAGAGTAAATCATAACTGCCAAAAAACTACTGCTTTGCCAGGAAAAGTGGTCAAGGAGGTCTGCAGCAAAAATGCTGTAGGGAAGAAGCTTCATGTTGAGGAGTGGGATAACCCACAAGCTGCTGTTCCTAGGAAACTGCACTGCTTTGTGGAGAATGTATTTACTGACATTGAGAACATTAACTGACCAGTTTGCAGTTGTCTATTTTGTATATTTCTGCATATAGATGGGAGAGGGGAGGTTTTCAGTTGTTTAGGATCAGGATATCAGCTGCACCAAAATTACACAGTGACGAATGCTGTTTCATTCTGATTTGCAAAATTCCAGTTGTTGAAAAGGAGTTTGGGAACATCAGCTACAAGATCTTTTAAATCATCAGTGACTGCTTTTCTCACCCAGTTGTGACTTGCACAATAATTTCTTAGAATATGACTGTGTGAAAGTGGTTCCTGAAGAGGCTGATGAAGTTTGGTTTTAGAATAGCAAGATAGCGTTGCAAAATCAGTGTAAGAAATGGTTTGTAGATGGTTTATACAAGGCTGTGAGGATTGTATCTAGTTGCAGCCAAGGTGCAGAACCTACTTCTAGTTTGTTGTAATCTTTTAATATGTTTATATATACATATATGTCTTATTCTTAATTACCTTATTAAAGACTATGTGCATTACCACTGGTGACACCCAAATTCTAGTGGGGCAAGAGTAATGCATAGTCCAGAGAGGTATAAGATAAGGGTATGTTGGGAAAGCAGGTGGCACATGATGAAAGTAGCAGATTTGATCTATCACTGCCTAAATTTGCAGTTTCAAGGATGCTGTTAAATACCTGGTGGCTGCCAGGTAAGTGTGACAGCAGTGACTGGACTACTTTGCCTCAGTCTTTGTTTGACTGCAGAATGTGACCTTTTCTTTCTGACGCAAATGTGCCATTCGTCATGCTTGTCATCTCAATCAAGGCTTTTGTGGTACATTCTGTATGGGGTTAAACCTTGCAGTGTTTGAAAGCTGAAATTGTGTGATATCACAAAATGATTTATCAGATACTGCGTCTTGTCTTGATTACTCAGCATCTGAACTCATTCACCTGTCTTGGCTGTCTCAGTTTCTAGATGGAGATTAGCATGTTGCTTTTAATTTATAAAACACTATGTGGCTTGGGCCAAGCCTGAGAAAATAATTGCTCTTTCCCCTGAAATGACCCTGGAGTCCCTTTTGGTGAAAATGATGCCACCTTGTGAACAGTGGGGGCACACTTAAGAGATGAATGTATTGATCTTCTTAGAGTGGTCTCTTTGGTTGTGAGCATTATGCTGGGCTGGATTGTATTTCAAGTCATTCTAAATATTTCAGATCCATTTTGCTGGTGGGGGAGTTTGGGCTTTTTAGTGAGCTCAGATATCCTGTGGGATTGTTTGCTGAAATGTTTTAGTAAAATAGTATTGCTATCCTTTTCAGAACCTTGTATTGGTATTAATTACTAAATACCTGTCTAGCTGATCTTCATGTCTAAAAATGCTTTATGAGATATTTCTGGGATGTATTATTTGCTTGAGCTATAATATTTTCACCAGTTAATTTTATGCCCACATATGCTAAACTTGCACAATTAACTTCTTGAACTTATACATTGAAAGCACCATGTGCTTCACCCTAATTGTGGCAATTTGTATTACCTTGCTGGTCTTCTGACGAAGCCTTAAGTATGTGAGACAACTGATTTTCTCAATTGTTCATAGATCATGCGTGTTGTGTTTGGCTTTATCACGCAATTGTTTTGTTACAAGCCTTTTTTGTTTCTTCTCTAGATTTGAACTTTCTGACTCCCATCTCGCTACCTAAAAGCCTCCTGGAATTGCTGCACTGTCCCTTGGGACACTGCCACCGCTGCAGCCAGCCTATGTTTACCATTGTCTAAGAGGGAAACTCCAATGGCAGGATTGCATCAAGGGTAATTATACAGGAAATTACACTGGGGTACCATTTAGGCAGAAGAGGACCTTATGGAACAAAGCATATTCTTAAGGATTTCTTTTTTTTGATTTAGCAGCATTTCAGATCTAAGGCCCCTGTCCTGTGGTTGCATAAGTTGACAAATCTTTTATTTACAAGACAACCAGAATACTGTTGTTGGACTGTTTAACAAGGGTTACCACACGTGCCCGTTTCAGACTGCTGTAAGCTAGTGAAGGGTTTTGGTATGATGGGATTGACTTGCTTGTGGTAGTGCAGCACATGCATGGCACTTCTGTGCCTTGGGAAGGAAATACTACCCAACACCAATACTTCCCCTGATGGTCTCAACCCTGACTTCAGAAGAATGCCAACACTGAATAAAAGTGCTGCAGGGTTAAAGACGAAAACAAGCTCTAAAGCCAGAGGTAAATTAAAATGTTATACTGTAAAATACTCTTGTTTTTCTTTCCATGCTAATTGCCTGGAGATAAGCCGTGGAAGCATTCTTCATTGTAAAATCCAGTTAGTAGCAATACATCTTTTTAAACATATTTCAGTTTTTGTGGTTGTAGCAGTTCTGAATGTGTCTGCTGGATTCGCAAGTCAAGTAGACAAGCCTACACAGACTTCTTGAGCTGCTGGACAGTGCAGTCCTAGAAGGGACTCAAAACAGGACTATAGTTCAGGAAATAGTCCCTTCATGTAGAGAAAGATTTGAAATAGCTTTAAGGTGAGCATTGATGATAAAGGTTTTCTTCAAGTCACTTGGAGTTAAACGAGCAAATGTGATATTCAAATTCTTTTTAGAGAATTAAAGTCAAGCCATTTGTTCCAAAGCATATGCCATAAAAGGAGCAGAAAAGAAAGGTGCTTTGAAAAGGAATTACTTGGTATATATAACACACAACAATGCCACTTAGTTCTTGTCCTGTTGAAATCAATTGTCTTGATAGTTATCGTCCATAAAAACAAGAAACTGCTTTTCAGTAGGAAGATCTTTAAGAAGAAAGAAGAGACTAATTGGTGATTCAGGTACCTGTTTTACACAGCTGTATCATAGGTTATTTTTCTATGAGTTTGTGGCATGAGCGGTATCTGATTTGTAAGCAATTCAGCTTCATGAAATGAAAACAACTTAGGTATGGACAGCAGCCACAAGGCTGCTTAACTACTAATTTGGAGAAGTCATCTTTCTTAGATCCAGTTGTTGAGATTGCACACTTCAACTTGCCATTCTGTTACACTTCAGTGATATGTTGAAATTCGGTGGATTTCATGTTGAGTAAAATCAAGACTGCTTCTACATTACAGTCTTAATATTCAGAGTGGCATAAGGTGTTACAGTCATGCTATAAAGAATTCCTTTCAAGCACTGGACTGTAATTTTCCAAGAAAGTGATGAAAAATACTTGCTGGTCACTAAATCTTTATATTATCTGAAATAATCCAACAATAGGAGAGTTTGGACTGGAGAACTACTTTCTAATTAATTGCTGAGCATTGTGCATTGTAGAACTTCCAGTTCCAAGATGACAGATTATCAGTAGACACCTTTAGGAATTGTTAAAGTTATGACTCACAAAAATATACTTTAGGGCTATGTTGGAAGAACATTTTATTAACAATCTAAAATATAATAATTGAAAATATGTATTTCTGCATGGCTTTAACTGCTTTAAAAAATGGGTTGTCATTCCTTCCCTGAGACCAGAATGTACTGTGTTCTGCAAAATACCTTAATGAATACAGTCTTAAGTAGCTGACATCTGATGCAAATCCACAGATCTAAACAGAGTAGCCTGTTGTCCTTATCTCTCTAGCTTGTGTGCTTGACATGGTAAGATGATGTGGAATTGCAGAGGTGTGATAGCTGGTTTAGAAACACGTGAAGGACTGTTTCTGTTCTAAAGAGCTTACAGTGACTATGAAAACACACAGGGTAGGGATCCTGAATGTTTGAACAGCACTGATTAGTACATGCCACATCCGTGCCAGTAACTTCTGTCTGGATTTCCGTATCACATTCTGTATCCTCTTATAGGAAAGGATAGTTAAGTGTTGAACTGGATTTATGTATCTGAAAAAGCACAGATGACAAGAGCACTGGGTAAAGTGTGATTTCTGGGTTAGTGAAAAACAGATCTTAACATTTTTAAAGCAGATATCTAGGTCCCTGCCAGGATGGGGGCAGGAGGAGGGTCACAGTGAGGGTAAGATCTGGCTTTCATGATGCCACCCCTGCTGTAGTACTGGCACAGTATGGCAGCTCTGCCTGTCAGTTGTCCTTTCTGTAAATGTGGGCCCGGTTTGTTCACTTGGCTCAACCAAAGGAGGACACTGGACTTCAGTTATTTCATGCCTACGAGCAGTCATTTAAGAAACACGAGCAAAGCTGCAGCAAAGAATGACCCAGCTATTTTCCTTTTAGCTGTTAAACTTACTGGCTATAACACTCAGCCGCACCCTCCACAGAAAGAAAAACCACATGCTGCTGCTTTAAACTGAATACATTAGAAACCAGGGAGGTTTTCGAGAACCCCTGCAGTGTTTCCCTGCTTTTGTATCGGGCACTCGTAGAGCAAATGAACCTTCTTTTTCTGAAGTGTCAAGATCAGCTAATCCTGTATTTTACAAACCAGCATATTGTCTGCTGTGGAACGGGGCCAGGAGCTTTAATCTTTACTGACAACTGTTCCCCCCCTTCTCTTTTTTTTTCCTAGGAGGACAACTGTTAGTTTTGTGGCATACTGCTGCTCCACCCAGTGTCTGCAGACTTTTGACCTACTGAGTTGATAAACATTTAAAACTACTCAGGAGCGCTGCCAGTTTAAAGCTGCATTGAACGTCGTATCCCATCGGTACTGGAATACTGTGTGCGTGTGCCAAAGCAGCAGAAGTGCCCAGTTGGGAACACTAAGAGGCACTTAAATCCTGCCCTATCAAATTTGGAAGAACTGCAGGAACTTTTCGGAAGTGTAAATACCAAGCTTTTAAAAGTATTAACTTCTCTCTCCTCCAAGACAACATACAAACCAAACAAATTCACAAGCTCTGACTTCAGGATTTCCAGTATTTTTCAAATGTGGCTGTCTTCAGGTTGACCCATTGCATCATTTGAGGCATTTTCATTCCTCTAAGAAGGGGCAAAAAAAAAAAGCTCCAGTTATGATGAACAAGTTCTCACTCCTACCCCCTCCCATCCTCATCACCCCTACAGGTGGTTTCAGGTGTGTGGATCTAAGCCTATGGAAGCCTTTGATGAATCCCAGTGACTTTCCCATAGAATTTAGCTTTATTTTCTCCCTCTCATCTTAATATTCTCCCCAGCAGTTATCCCAGTTGTATACCCAGTCTTTGACAGTGAATTGTGGTATTTAAATCCACATATTAAAGCAGATCTTTCTTTTTGGTTATCATTAGAAGCCAAACGGATTTAATCAGAGTAACTAGGGTATGTCTGGAGACTAAAGATCCTGTTTCAGTAATGAAGGCTACTACTGATGCCTACACTAAAGTGGTCTTGCTCCAGCATGTTCGAGGGTGTGTTTTCTTTATTTTCATGGCTTTTATTTTAAAAAACACTCCCCCTTTTGCTTCTTTGGAAGAAGATGACTTTATCAATTTCACTTGGATAAAGCACCGAAGACTATGATAGTTAGTATTTATCTATATTTATTATATTTTTACAGTTGAGGACTGTAGATCTGCAAAGAGTTGGTCTTCATCTTTTTCTAGATTCAGCATTTGACTGATTTGTGGATGGAAGAGTGTCAGTGGAGTGTGTGCCTTCGAGAAGGCTGGAAATCTGGAGGGGTATGTGTATCTCCATGTGTAGGTATATATGCATACAGAGATAGCTTCACAGACGGGCTGTAACTTTGTTCTCATGTGTTAATGGCAGATTTACTGCACATTTCCACACACTATCATATTTGTGGGAATCCTTTTTTGTTAGATCTTACTCATTTTAAATAAAGGACAAAGGATGGAAAACAGGCCTAAAATGCCTGCATGACTTAAAAGTTTAATTCTACACTGAAACAGTTCACACAAAATTAGTCCCTCTTGACTTCTTCTGAAACACATAATTTTTTTAATATAATGTGTTCTCTTTTTTTACTTTCTATTTCTTAGGTATAAACTACTTGTTGATTTAACACAGTGTGCAGTAGGTAGTTCCAGGCTGAAATAGATATGAATGAAACTGTTATGAAAATGGCAAGATAAAGAGACTTATTTGGTAGTATATTAGCATATGTTGTGGTGAGGTGTGCATACTTTGAAGGGAGGAGGCATTAAAATGTTTTCCTTTTGCCAAAGAAGCATTTGTTCCCGCTGCAGGCTTCCTGGCATCTCTTCAATAAATAGAGTATCTTAAGAGCTTAAAAAGAGTACCAAAAAGGCAGTTTTGAGGGTGGAATTTTTAGGTTGTGCATGTTACTTGTAAAAGCTCTGCTGGTTTTATTGGGTTGGTTTTAGAGAGTTGAATTAGCGTTAAGAAATGTAGAACTTAATCCTTCAGGAATGCAAGTATCATCTACTGTTTAAGAATTGTGAAACTTTCTAAAATAAATCCCATTTATTAAGTCTGCTTTGCAGTAGGGGAAAGAGCCATGTCCAAGCAGACTTTGTACTATTGTATTTCTGACTCTGTCATTTCACTAATTTGTTTCGATATTGGTATCCCCAACAGCCCTTCCCACCCCACGGACTTTAGCGCTGAGGCAGCAAAACGAATCTTCAGCTTTTTGCCTTTCCTTCAGTTCTACCCAGCCAAGATGTAAATGGCCCATGTACAATTATACCTGTATCAGAAATGTGCTAGTGTAGGACCAAATCCATTTTTTTTAAATGGGTGAAAGAGAACTAAGGTAATGATAGAAGTACTTATTTTTTTGATAGTATACTCCCATCAGGAATCTTCAGTATTATTTTTACCGTGGCTTCCTCTGTCCTTGAAGGACATGCTCTATTGGAATTTGATTTGTCCTCCTCTTATAGCAACTTAGAGGCTTTAAAGGACAGTTTATTTCTGAATTCAATCTGTAACTATTATTTTGGAGTTAAATCTTTTAATCACCCAAAAGGCACCGGTATTGGTTTTATTAGGAGTCAGATAGTAAGAGTGGAGCTTGATCATTATTATTTATTTTTAATATTCTTTTTTCTTCCCATAATCTAATTACTTTTGGGTTCGTATCAGTCTATTATTGTCTACAAGTGGAGTACAGAAGAAATTTGGTCTGTTCTATAAGGAGGATGAATCTTAACACTTTAATAGATGATATTTCAAGACTGGAATGTCCAGTGAATAAATGACTTAAACACACAGTTGAAGCTGAAATGTCATACCCTATTTTTATAAAACAAGGAAGAGGAAAGCCAATATATAGACTGGAAATGCAGCTTAAATTCATGTTTCTCTGATGGTTTTTTTTTATACAGACAGTGTGTGTATTCATCTGTATCTTTGGGTGATATTGTTCTAGATTAATATAACTCCATTCTCACTTGTCCAATTCTTCTGAAGTTGTTCTGCTTTAAGAGTATTTCATAACCAGCTAAGATGAGAGCCAGCTATGCAAGCTGCAGAGGAGAGAGGGAGCTTCTTGCTGATTGAACTGTGCATCACTTGTTTTTCAAAACAAGGTGTCACAATACTTGGACTTTGCTTTAATTCATTTATTTCTAGGTAGTTTTTTATTACTTGCTCTTGTTTGTCAGATCAGTTCACATTGAGCTAAGTTTTTCCTTGTACTGCAAAAATACCTGGTTTCAACAGTTGAAAAAAATGACCTTTTCTACACAGTTTTTTGTCATAAAAGCAGATGTTAACTCTTTGCTTAGTATGGGAGCAGAAGTTTCTGAGGGTTTTTTCTAGGTGTTAGAAAGGTGCAGGAGAGAAATGAGAGAAAATAAGTCTTTAATCCATTGACATTGCAGTGAAGTTTTTCTGATTAACTCCTAATGTGATTAGGGAGCATCAGTTTTGTTCATGTTGTGATAACAGGCACCATATTAATAAAATTGGGATAACTTTTTGTTCTGCCACAGAGGAAGCAGAGGAATCTTTGCCTTTGTTTAAAAATACTACTTGGGCGGTTTTACTGTGGACACTGTTAGATTTGGAGCACTGTGCTTGGGAAGCTTCCCGTTACTCCCCCGGAGAATCAGAAATCCAAATGTCCTTTCCTGTGCAAAGAACAAGGTCTAATATCAAGAAGTCTGTGTTTTTCTGTTTTGGTCTGATGCTTCTCTTGGGCTTCCATTGAAGTTCATTACAAACCTTCTATTTACTTCGTTGCGGTGAGGTTAAGATCTTACACTGAGCAGAGCAGAGCCGATTATTGCCAAGTTGGCTTCAATTCTTATATATCGAATTCTGCTGAATCCCTTTTTCTGGTATGAAGGGAGGATGAGACTGTTCTAACACCCGTGTGGTAGCAGCGTGTCAGGTTTTACTGACATTACAGCCAAGCTGAAGACTGGAGAGTGACAAACCTTTCACTAGAGAGGATGACGTTCTTTTGAAGGCCGCTGTGGCCACATGAGAGTACCCCTGATATAACAGAAGGACTTGATGTCAGTGGAGGTTGGATCAAGTTTTAATTGATAAGAGAGAAGAATGTTTTACGATCTTTGTATTTCTTGAAAAAACTGGGAAAATGACACTGAGGTCCATGCCTGCTGCTAGGCTTCCTCTCTATCTGCAGTTGAACTTCCGTGGTTCTAAGACATAACTATCTTTGCCTCTTACCTCCCTCTTACTGCTACTCATGGTGTTGCAAAATGTTATAGGTGACTTGTGATGGAAGAGGCTGAGTAAATTGAATCCAGAGTTTTTATTACTTTTTTGTATTACAGACCTATTTTGTAAGAGACCAAAGGTCTGGTGGAAAGAAATGGCAAGGTTCATGTGAAGTCTTCATTGCTTTTGCTTTTATGTGCCCTTCTTTGGATTAAAACTTGAACTTGGATTGCAACTGAGTTTGTTCTATGTCTGTTGAAAGCATATGTGTATTGCTTTTTTGCTCTGTATTAACCAAGTGTCACTTAGTGTGAAGGTGAGCTTGCTAGATGTTTTATTTAAAGTTAGTGGTGCAATTTATTGTATGTGCTTGTTAATAAACTATATTTTTGGATAGAATTACAGTCCATTACAGTTAACTGAATTCCTGCTCCTGGGGCTATTAAGCTGTGTTAGGATGTAAATTACATATTAGTTCATTTGCATAGTAATTAGTCTCTTGTCCCAAGGCTGAAGAGGTGGGGTGAAGACACTTCTTAAAACCCTACCAAGGCCAAAACACCACTTCAATTCACTTAATCCCTATGTCTCGGACTATGAAGTTTACCAGATCTTGCATAATAGGAACAAACCCCATATGGAAACATTACTTCAGACCCTTCTATGGATCGATCAAAAGAAAAATAACTTTCAGTAGGGCTGTATGAAGTGCCACCCTGATAGTCCATGTGGCTGTCGTTCATGTATAATTTACTAAGCAGCATTCAGCAGCTCTTTTTCCCCCTCATCTAACAAATATCATAGGAACAAGGTTGCCAAAAATAAGTAGAAATTAAGCATCTGTTTTTCCAGTTTCTTCACTCCTTGCTGTGCAGCATTTTGCTTCAGTCAGAGCTGCTATTCTGTATCAGTTCTGATGAGTTCTTGCAGTTGGATGCTGTCTGAATTATTGTACATGTAGCATACCCGTTCTTAAATGAGACCTAGGTTGGTCAAGGTGACTCTGAACATCAGTTATAATTGATGCCTGGAAGGGTTTAGATACCACTCAAACGTGCCTGCTGCTTGCTTGCTAGGACGTTTACCATGTCTTGCCTTTTTAGTGTTTTACAAATGACAATATAAATTTTCCTACCCTTGCAATGCAGGTAACCTCTGTTTGCGAGGCAGCAGGAGGAGGATGTGCAAGTCCCTTAATAAGTGAGATGGAGAGGGGAGAATAACCCTTAACCTATAACTTTTACCAACCTCTGCTGTGTCCCTTATGAATTAGAAAGAAAGAAATGGGAGAGCTTAACATCCTTTTCCTTTGCAATTAAAAGTACTTGGCATAAATGCAAGCTAAGTGGAAACTTCAGT